ATTTGGATTGTCAACCAATGAAATACAAAAGCGAAGAAGTTTTATTGGTATAGAGTCAATATTTGAAATATATCAAAAATTCTAAGAAACCTTAATCGTCAAGTTTGGCTAATTTAATTTAATTTTTTACAAGGCAAACAGCCATTGCGTAAATAGAAGGGCAGCTTCGATTTTAAATCGATATCTGTCACGTTGTTGATTCGCCAAGCAGTATAACTACATTCTATTAATTGTTATACTGAGTAGATAGCCTGTCATCAAGGTTCTAGATCAGCCTGTATGCTTGTCACAGTACTCGTACCATGACTCATAATAATGCTGTATACGCGTATACATATGTAGATTAATATTACTTGTAAAATTGCAAACTAATTCATTATTGGATAAGGGTAGGGAAATTAGTTGGATACCTGATTTAAAAGGAGCTCAAAGGTCAGATTAGTGTTTTGATGGTCATTTAATCGACTGCTATATGCATGCTGAAAGGTATTTCAAAAGGAGAGCACGAAACTATACAAATTTAGATCTAAAAATGAACGCCAGCTAATATTTTTGATTAGTATTAAGCTCTATAGACTAATATGTTCAACATATATATCTTGTAGCTGCTCGCGAATATAGATAGAATATATAAAAGCGAGTTATTTTTTACTGTAAAAAGAGTTTGATAATAGATCGTTTATACGTAAGGAGATGGTTTAGATTATTGCTACGTCAAGCTTAAAAGAAAAAGCTTACATTGGTTACGGAGAACTGATCTTGATAAGTAGTTCAAGATCCAAGAAGACCACGGAAATATCTAGAAATGTATTTTTGTCGTAAGAATAATATATATCTCCATTTTAGTGACAGCATCATTGGCTAAAATGTGACCTTACTGGATAAAGATGAAGCGCAAGAGTGACGTGCTCTACATTTCATGAAATGACGTAATAAACTCGCTTGCCTAAAGTCAAACGATCGATTAGTATTCACTTCCCACCAATCAGAGGTCGCTACTGCTAAGATAGGGTCACCTAATAGGGTCACTTAATTTCCAACGCTATGCTCTTCAATGCGTCACTATTGACGGATTGAGAGTCAACTAACTGTAACTGACTGACTGGCAATGAAGCAGGTCATCTGTCGCTCTTAATGAAGGACTAGATATAAATTAGTGGCACCTAAATTGAAGTAACTCAGTGCCGGCATTTCCTTTTATTGGCGGCAGTTTGTTAAGCTTATCAGAATGTAAAAATAATTTTAGAAGAAAATGCCACTTAAAACTCAGATCTGTAGAGCATAAATGGAAGATTTTCAAAAATGAAAGGACGAATTAAGCTTATCAGAATGTAAAAAATAATTATAGAAGAAAATGCCACTTAAAATTCACTCATAAATTAGTTGCACCTAAATTGAAGTAACTTGGTGCCAGCATTTCCTTTTATTGGCGGCAATTTGTTAAGCTTATCAGAATGTAAAAATAATTTTAGAAGAAAATGCCACTTAAAACTCAGATCTGTAGAGCATAAATGGAAGATTTTCAAAAATGAAAGGACGTATTAAGCTTATCAGAATGTAAAAAATAATTATAGAAGAAAATGCCACTTAAAATTCACTCATAAATTAGTTGCACCTAAATTGAAGTAACTTGGTGCCAGCATTTCCTTTTATTGGCGGCGATTTGTTAAGCTTATCAGAATGTAAAAATAATTATAGAAGAAAATGCCGCTTAAAACTCACTCATAAATTAGTTGCACCTAAATTGAAGTAACTTAGTGCCGGCATTTCCTTTTATTGGCGGCGATTTGTTAAGCTTATCAGAATGTGAATATAATTTTAGAAGAAAATGCCACTTAAAACTCAGATCAGTAGAGCATAAATGGAAGAGTTTCAAAAATGAAAGGACGTGTCTGTCTGGACCTGTTCAAAATGAACTAGTATTGAATTCAGTGCTACCTGACATTGACACTGGAGAAATTAGTATAGTATCGTATGGTGCTTGCTTTGAAGTACAGTAGGGTAAGTCAGTATTTTTGCATCGGCTTGTTGTTCATGCCTGCTGATAATATATCGAGCATAAGGGGGTAATTTATATTTTATTGAATAAATAAATACGTAATTAAAATTTTGATTGCATTACAGTAGGTACCGTAAGAAATTTTCTTGCATTAACAGTTTCCTTCGCTTTCCAAACATATAAATTACCAGTATCTATTGTTTGTATTTCATATGATTGACAATGCCCACGTCAAAATGAAATCCTGTGTTTAATTTCGTTTTAGAAATATGAATCAATTTATGGTATATCAAATTATTATCAAATGCATAGGCTAATCATATTACTTTTACTGTTTATGCTTAGAGTGCCCACTTTCCACGCATGAGTTACAACTACAATGATTGTTAATTAACGTCTTTATGAGTAATAATAGATCGCTGTCCCCAAAATGAGAACTTTATATTTCTTTCCTCTTAAGAGGCAGCGTTATTTACGAATTTGGATTTATTATCCTATTGTGAATTTGTTTTTATTATTGATTTTCACTTTAATTTATATCAGGGCTATTGTTGATCGCGTTATTTTGTTAGACACCAGTTGTCGTTAATTGAAAGACATTCAATTAAGTACGTCAAAAAAGTGACAAAAGGTGACCAGTTATAAACATGTCTCAGTCGCTATCGAGTCACTGTTATTACCAGTCCGGATAGGATATGGCTAAATATTTCTGACGATGATGACTGCCAATCTTCGCTCATGGGTAATTAAAAAAGTTGAATATTACGGTTATTTCCTTCCTGTTTAAAGGCGTCAAATTAAAATTAGCTATTTTATCATATCTTATTGTCTAAGACTGCGTTAGCAAAAGAGTTCTTGAAATAGTACTATAGTCATTCAAAATAATTTTTTAACGGAAGCTAGTAATAAAGTAATTGCTGAAAGTGGTGATTTTCTTCATTAAATCATTTAAAATTATTTCGTTTTCTTACATTATTTCTAGGGCACTATTTATCAAGTCTGTTAAAAGGCTTTTTAATTTACTCGAAATCTTCTTCGTTATAGTAAAGCTATTATATGGTAAACTCGCTGCTAAATTGCTTATGAGATCATTAATGACAATACAGTACTCGGCTCTATTTTACTTACATGTATTGTTATATTCGTAAATTCTTATTTAATTATTTACGGTATTTCTTTTCCATTACTGCATAGCAGGCGTTTCTATATAAGAAATAATAACGACATCAATAGAGAAATTTTTTCTTCCCTTAAACTAACAGAATCACCTTTAACCTCTGGATAAACAATGTACTTCATTGTCTGGAGTGGTTAAAAATATGATTAAATCTAACATGATGGAATGATGCCAAGATATTGATAATTAATATGATATGATAGCGTACGTAATGTTTTGAATGTTACTAGATATTCATGGCCATTGTTAATAGATTTTAACTGCAAAAATTTTATGGAATGCATAGTTGATGATGTTGTGGCAATGATATTTATGTTGAGGTTTCTTCCTTAACTTTGTTTGATCGTATTGATTCGTCTCGTATCTTATTAGCCAGCCGACTGTAATAGGAACATAATGATTAAGTTCTATAACCAATAAATCAGAGCTAGTTCGATATAACTTTATAACCAATATAATTATTCACCTGTAATATGTTTAAGATATATGTATGCAATATACAACCGCGAGTTGATCAGTATTTAGATGCTTAACTAGGTTTTTAAAGTTGTTTTCCGAGTAGGTCAAGTTGGAAGTAGTCACCGTCTTTTGCGCATACGTAATAACATCATTAATTCACTTACTACTGCGTATGATAAAATATAAATTTTACGGATAATTGATATCAAGTACTGTCAAAATATTCTAGCGTACTAGAGCTGTGATTTCAAACCAATATCAGTCTTGTACTTCGTTTTATCTATGTATTGCCATATTAGGTTTTCTCTCAGTACTGAAATGTTTTAGAATGGCGATTATAGCAGAAAATCTACGTTGAAGCTATATCAGGGCTAATTTTTGTATTGTACAAGCATTGTCTGGATTGAATTAAAGTTGAAGTTAAACTGTTATTATTTCAATATTGTTTGTGAGTAAAAAGAAGTAGCTACATTTTATATTCTTTAAATGCTTTCAATCTATCTTG